CTATACGCAGCTAGCAGGGACCTTGATAAATTGGAGAACTGGACTATAGACAACAAAATGAAATTCAACAAAGACAAATGTGAGGTGCTACGCTTAGGGAAGAAAAAACAAATGCGCAAATACAGACTGGGGGAAAACTGGCTTGGCAGCAGCACCGCTGAGAAGGATCTGGGCGTTGTGGTGGATCAAAGCCTCAACATGAGTCAACAGTGCAATGCTGTTGCAAAAAAAAAAAAAAGGCAAATGCAATTTTAGGTTGCATTAACAGAAGTATCCTTCTATTCAGCGCTGGTTAGACCTCAGCTGGAGTAGTGGTGTCCAACTTTGGTCACCAATGTATAGAAAGGATGTACAGAAATTGGAAAGGATCCAGAGGCGAGCGACAAAGATGATCAAAGGGAAGGAATGCAGCCATATGAGCAAAGGCTGAAGGAACTGGGTATGGTTAGTTTGGAAAAGAGGAAATTAAAGGCGGGGGGAGGGGGGATCTGACAGTGGTCTTCAGATACTTGAAAGGCTGCCACAAAAAAAATGGAGAAAAGTTGTTCTCTTTTGCCACCAAGGGCAGAACAAGAAGCAATGGGTTCAAACCATAGCATAGCAGACTTAGATTAAAGCACAGAAAAAAATTCTTAACTATAAGAACAGTAGGACAGTGGAACAGAGGCCTCGGGAGGTCGTGGAAGCTCCTTCACTGGAGGTTACCCAAAGGAGGCTGGAGCCACCTGTCTTGGATGGTTTAACACAACGAATCCTGCACCTTGGCAGGGGGTTAGACTAGATGACTGTTGCCGTCCCTTCTAGTCCTATGGTTCTATGTTGCCGATGCTGCCATCATCAATACCAGACTCAACAGATGCCCCATGGCCAAAACCAGAGGCAGTTAGATGGACTGGCACCAGGAGTCCAGAAGGAGTTGCTCGTTAGCACTTAAAAGGGCTGTTTAACACGTTGAAATGCTGGGTGAGGAGAAGATCAAATAAGGACTCATCTGCAACACTACACCTCCCTGCCAGGCGACCACGCTGGGTCAGACTCGAATGGTGCCAGCACTACTAAGTTACATTAACAATGAACTATATACAATAAATTCCTAGAGAAACTGAGGAAAAAGCATGTAAAGTAAAGCACCACAGAATGCTCAAACTCTAGCCAGAGGCAGTGAGAAGGAACAGAGAGGGGTCAGGGCGTCGCTATCCTTAAATAGCTAGGGGAAGGGCCAGAGCCACAAGGCATGAGCACCGCCCATAGGTACCGTTAGGCAAAGTTCTCCAGCTTCAGTGCACTGGGCACATGCACACCTGAGTGGAATACATGTCTGCTCCCACTCAAAGAAGAACAGAATGATCACTAAACATACCAGAAATAGAACCCCTGGGGTGGAAGGTTGTTTCAGAAGCAAATGCTGGACCTGAGGCTCTTTTCTACATAGAGTTTGATGTGTTCTCCCTGCTGCCAGCCAGGCTCCCATCAGGCTGAGACCTGTTAGAGGAGGTGGACTAGTACTGCAGAGCTCTGAAAACAGCTGCAATCCCCACAGTGCAGAAACCGAATGAGCCAACACGCTCCCTGGAGTGCAGCCAGGGAAGGTACATACACACTGGAGGAGAGAGATTTCATCCTGGGCAGCCTCAGCAAAGCTCTCCCCACCCTTGGCCACCTTCACAGCTACACGCCTCTTCTCTCTGTGAAAGGAATCACACCAGCAGACCAGTGCACAAAAGTTCTGTCCAGCCCAGTTTCCCATCATACAGCCTTGAGGAGTCTCCATGTCTTTCCTTTCCCTGTAGTGACCCACTCTAATGCCTGTGCTCTGTACTGAGAGAGGCTGCCCTACACCTCTCCTCTGCCTCTAACATCCCCACCCTCATACCTTCCACACACAGCAGGGTGGAGACCTGTATTCATCTCCCTCTGGCAACTATTACTTTAATCTTAGAGCTCCATCGCCCTCTGGGAGCAGGAGAGGTCTGGCCAGGCTGAGAGAGAGCATATTATAAATCAGAAAAGTAAATATAAAGGAAGACCTGTCCCCTTCAGGGCCAAACACGAATCCAGTAGGGTTTCCTGCAGGCACAGCTCAGCACCGCAGACTACAAAGCATTTCACCCACCAATGTCATCTCGCTTCTCTCTAACCTAGGCTGTTTGCCTAGTATTCAAGCACCAGCTCCCTTCCTAGAGACCCTTCCCCTCTGATTCTTGCTGTCAGACTCACTTCAATGGAGCCCTCTTGTAATGGCTGCTTGGGAAATAATGCCTCACAGCTGACCTAGCTCTGCTGATCCCCTCCCACCACCACCCAAACACCCACATCCCTGCCTTCAGGGCGGGCTATTCCTCTGGGCTGTTCCTTCCTCTGCCCAGATAGAGAGGGTCAATTCCTCCCCTTTTCCCCCTGGATGGACTCTGAACATCCCTTTACAGCCCCATTCTACAGAGTTCCCCTCCCTTTGGAATAGTCTCTATTGTGCTACTCACACCATGTCCTGACACAACCAGACTGTAGAGAAGTAGCCACAGCCCAGCTTGTGCACCACCTGGTATCTTCCACTGAATGTGTCTCCCTTCTGCACAGGGTAGTAGCCTCCTACAGAGATGGATCACCAATAGCCCCATTAGTGGGACAGAATTACCAAACAGAAAGAAGGACTGACCTCAACAATTCAGCCCAGAGTCTACAAATCTCCCAGGCTGAATGGCAAGGAGGTTTGGGTACCAAACTGGTAACACTCCCTGGACTCACCTGCATAGTACTCTGCAGGGTCCTCCTGGCATCCCCACCCCTCCATGCCAGAGGCTTGCTGCAGTCCTCAGGATGAGCAGGTGAGGGGGAACAGGGATGACACTTGGCGCAGACACAGCCCGATCTTCAGCATTTTACTCCTGTAAATAGAGTTATGTATGTGCATACCTGTTGGTATTTCACCAAGCACCCGTGCCCTCCCCTCTGCAGCTTACCTATTCTTCTTTTCAGATCTCATCTTTGACCCCTCTCCCTCTCCCCTCTACATCCCTTGTTCCTTCCCCTCTGTTTCCCCAGAATTGGATCTGGGTGATGAAAATTTCTGGCATTTCCTGAGGGATTAGAGATTATTTTAAGATTTCAAAATAGGGGGACATTGAGATGACTCAAGCTGAGCAGAGCTCCTTGCTGGGTGCAGCTAGAACAGAGAGAGGCAGGAGTCTCAGGTTTATTGCTGCCTTGCTCGGATTTCCAGAGGATTAGTGGGGATTGAAGGAAAGGGCCAGGCATTCCCTCTGACAAGCTACAGTGCTGGCCTGGCCTCCTGCAGAGAGCGCACAGATCAAGCTCAGCAGGGGGGGGGGGGGGGGGGGACGGACAGGGACAGATCTCTAATGTGCACACAGTCTAATTGAGCTGCAGATTCTCACATTCTATTTTAGTATTAAATAGTCTCTATGCATTAGAAACTCCAGTACTCTGCAGCCCAGCCCAGGACAAAAGCTAATTGGCTATAACTCAGATTATTTTGAAATAATGCTTCAAAACTCTGCGAGACCACTGTTTTTGGCACACTAGGAGTCAACCATTTTAAAAATAACACCCAACGTAGCAATTCATGCTAAGGATTTGTCTGTGTAGTGGCCATCTGGCAATTTTCACTAACTTGAATCCTAACAAATGTGATATTAGTTAGTCTGATTAGATTATTAGTATGTTAGAAATATTGCCCTTAAATTCTGAGGAGTTAGTTTGTGAAACCCAAGGGCTAATCTACACTTGAAATGTACTAGACTAGTAAGAGTGTCCATATGAGAATTTATCTGGAATAACTATTTTAGAATAATTACTGTATTCTAGAATAGCTATTCTGGTATTACCAAGGGTAGGCAAGCAATAAGAGCATTTCCCCAGCAACTCTGGAATGGAATTGTGGCTTCTTCTGTCATTTTTGGTTCTTCAGCTAAGAGCGTTTACCACCTCCTGCTCTTCCTTTGTTAGCAACAAAGCTGCCTTTAAGGACCAACTTACAAGGTGTAGTTGCATTTCTTGTTGATGCTGGGCGAGCATGGGGTATGTATGAGCAGATTCCCTGGCCTGTGGCTACACTTTTGTAAAGGGAGTCTGGGACTGCAAATGTCTCCACTGCTCTATTTTCCCCTACCTGTGGCTGAAGCAAGGAAGAACAGGTTAGGATGCAGCATGAAAAGGGACTGTGGCTGCCTCTAACCCACTTCCCTTCTTAGTTCTGTAACTGAAGTGTAATGCATTACCTCAAGCCTATGTCTCTTTTTAGGTACAAAGTTCCAGAAGCCCCCATCCTTCACTTGTCACTCTCTTGTAAATAACTTTCCATGACCAGATTCATACCAATGTAACACTGAAATCACTGGAGTGATCCCTAGTTTGCACTGGGGTGAGTAGAGTGGGCCTGTTCAATCTACTGCCATGCTCGTAGAGCATCACAGAGCCCTGCCATCTATCTCCTACCATTCTGATAGGGCATTAAGGAGCAACTACCAGAATGATTTGATGTCTGGAAACCATGCCTTATAGATGAAGATTCTCACATATCTCACTATTTACATCACTAAAAAAAAGGTTAAGAGGTACGCAATGCTCTAGTAACAAGCCCTACACAGGGTAGATGTTGCTGATAGTAATCTCTAATCTAGCAGAAAAAGGGATAACAAGATCCAGCGGTTGGAAGCTGAAACTAGTCAAATTCAGACCAGAAATAATGATGCACATTTTGAATAGTGAGAGTAATTAACCATTGGAACACATCACCTAGGGCTGTGGTGGCTTCTCCAGCACTCAAAGTGTTTAAATCTAGACTACGTATCTTTTTATAAAGAGATGTTATAACTCAAACATGTTATGGGATAAATGCAGAAATCACTGGGTGAGGTTTTCTAGACTGTGTTATGCAGAAGGTCAGACTAGATCAGGGGTGGGCAAACTACGACCCATGGGTGACATCTGGCCCACCAGCCGATTTTATCTGGCCCTCGAGCTCCCACTGGGGAGCAGGGTCTGGGGCTTGCCCTGCTCCCGCACTCGAGCCGGGGCGGGGGGGATGGGGGGGGGGAAGATGCAGCTCCCAGAAGCAGCGGCATCTTCCCCCTCTTACACCCAAACCCGTCATCCCCAGCCCCATCCCAGAGTCCGCAGTTCCAGCCGGAGCCCTCACCCGCCCTGCACCCCAACCCTCTGCCCCAGCCCGGAGTCCTTCCTGCACCTTGAACTCCTCATTTCTGGCCCCACCCTGGAGCCCGCACCCCCAGCCATAGCCCTCATCCCTTTCTGCACCCCAACCCCAATTTTGTGAGCATTCATGGCCCAGCATACAATTTCCATATCCAGATGTGGCCCTTGGGACAAAAAGTTTGCCCACCCTTGGACTAGATGATTCTATTGGTCCTTTCTAGCTTAAAAAATAATCTACAAAAGGAGCAGCAGTGCTACATTGCTGGAGATGCTGTCCTGCACAAGCCAACAAGCTCCATCTTCCAGTGTCCCAGAGTGGCTCTAGGGGCAAGCAACCCTTCTCCTGGGTTTGCGCCATTTGCAGGCACTCCTGGGAGGTACACAAGGATCCCTGGCATACTCAGTTTGGGAAGATGGTTGTAAAGAGTAAAGCAGTTGAACCCACAGAGAGCAGTAGATTCTTCTCTCATGTGTGAAAGAGAAATATGCCAGGACACAACTGGGCAGGGCTTTCTAAGTAAGCATCCCTGCACGCCTTGGCACATGCAGTAAAAGCAGCCCCTTGCAGATCTAAATACCATTGATTCGTGAGAGACTTACCATGTAGTAGCTCATGGAGGCAGAGCTCACGGCTCTACTTGAGACCTGGGGCGTTCAGGAGCTCCTGGAAGTGCGATACCAAGAGCTCCTGCTTTCCTTTTTAGTCTGGTTTAGATGGGAGGGGTGTCCTTGAGTGGAGCGAGTTCCTCTGCACCACCGGAGGTATGTGGTGAAGAAAGGGACATGGGATCAGATCACAGCAAGGCCCCTGGAAACAGCACTGGCTTCAGAATAGTTAGAAGACCTTGGACAGCTTGGGATAGGGTCATTTTACTGTACTCATAACTTTGCACCTGTTTTAACAGTTTCCTGCTTCTAACTCTCTCCTAGCAGCAAGTCTATCCAGCCACAAAGTAAACCCTTTGAAAGCTCCCTGGAGGCTATTTATAGATAGGGTGACCATATTTTCCTATGCTGAATACGGGACACCTGGTAAAATTACTTCTATTCAAGTTAGTTCAACGGCAATCAATCAGAACTATGCAGTACAAACATTCAAATTAACATCAAGTTGACTGAGCCTGTTAAAAAGAAATACTGCATAGTTGGATTCTTTTTATTTATCTTATCTTTAAGGCTTTAGGGTTCACATGGGGAGGGATGACACACACACTCCTACCCCCTCAAACTCCCCCCCCCCCAGAGGGTGGGTGACCAACTGACCCTCCCCTCCCTGCCTGGTGCTCTCCACCCTCCATGCTTGGCTGGGCCCCCGGTATGGACTCTCCTATCCCGGTACCTGGTGCGGCGTCTTACCAAGGCAACACATGGAGGGGGGGCACGCAGGGTCTCTTGCCCCCCGCTCTCCAGATTTCTGCCAGGGTTCACATCAGAATGTGGCCAACAGCAGCCTTTTGGCACTGTGCTGGAGGGAAGGGGGGGGAAGAAATTACCTGGCCCATGTCTTTGCAGAGCTCATCTCCCCCCTCCCCCCCACCAGCCCATGTGGCTAGAAGCAGGTGGGCCCTTCCTGCCTGCACAGTGTTGAAAGGCAGCTAACACCTCCAGGCTGCTGCTGGCCACCGACATAACCCAACCGCCTCCTGTCCCCTGGCTACAGCACAGGCAAGAAGGGGTTAATCCCAAAACCATGCACCATGGCCCAGGGAACCTGACTGCAGGGGTTTCAGCGAACCCAGCCAGAGAGGTGGCTCAGCAGGGGAGAGTGTCTAGGGGATGGACCAGCCCCGAGCTCCATGGGACAGGACCTGGGGCAGGTGAAGAAGGTGCTAAGCCCCTGCCCTGGGGGCTGCTGTGGAGCATGAAGATTCAGGGCGTGAACAGGCTGGAAATTACTCCTCCCTGCCACTCCAGAACTTAGCTGAGGGGTGGTGCGGCATCCCCTTTGGCACATGCATGGCTCAGCACCTCCTGGCCAGCGACCCGGGCCAGAGGGTCTTGGGCTTTCCTGGGGCGTTAGCCCAGCCAGAGGCAGTGGGGGAAGGAAGGCGCCTGCCGGCCAGGCCGAACACTCCAACCAGGGGCTGGTTCTCTGCACAGTGCTGGGAGCTGGACGAGACCCACTGGGGGGGATATGGAGGAGCAGCGGGGCTGCAGGGGTGAAGGAGCATAGCAGGGAGAGGACAGGAAGAGGGGGAACGTGTAAAGGGCCAATGGGTGGGCAGCAGAGGCGACACGTAACTGGCCACCACCTGGCGCCTGCTCACACTCATCAGCCACCGCAGCTTGCAGTGCGCAGCCAGTGCCGGCCGGAAACGGGACAGGGGAGGGGGGACAAGGCCTTGCTGGCTGAGAACTGGCACGCAGTGGGGGCTGCGCTGACAGGCCAGCAGGGGAGCGGCTGGCCCTGCATGCTGCATCTTCGTCCCGCCACCAGCCTTGCACCCCCACCCCCAATCGATGGCCACGGGACCAAGTCCACTTCCCACCCCCGGCCCTGGGCGGATGGGCAGCTGGTGAGCAAGGTCCTGACCAGCAGCAGGACCCACCAGTTCTGATGGAGGGGAGACAGAAAATACGGGACAATTTGCCCATTTTTAAGAAAAAGTTGGGACATCTGCAGTAGGGCTTAAATTCAGGACTGTCCCTTTAAAAGTGGGATGTCTGGTCACCCTATTTATAGAACAAAGTTTACAGCTTAGCTGAGATGGAAATACAAAATCTTTCCTCAACGCTGAACAGCTCAACCCCAGGGGTCATAACACACACAGCTCGACGGCAGTCCTAGTGTGCACAATGAGCAGCAGACATGGCCTTTCTAGTAGGCCCCTCTCTGGGTTTTGCCTTGCCCCTCCTTTCTCTGTGTGGGGACAGCACTCTCTGGCATATGCAGCTCAGGAAACATAGGCACCAACTCTGTGGGTGCTCCGGAGCTGCAGCACACACGGGGAAAAATTGGTGGGTGCTCTGCACCCACCAGCAGCTCCCCGCCCGCCGCCTCAGTTCACCTCTGCTTCCGCCTCGCCTCCGCGTCCTCCCCTGAGCGCGCTGTCCCCGCTTCTCCTCCCAGCACTTGCAGCCGCGAAACAACACGCTTTGGGAGCGGGGAAAGAGTGGGAACGTGGCGTGATCAGGAGAGGAGGCAGGGAAGAGGCAGGGCCGGGGATTTGGGGAAGGAGTCCAATGGGGCAGGGAGGGGGCGGAGTTGTGGTGGGGAATTTGGGAAAGGGGTTGGAATGGGGGTGGGGCGGGGGTGGAGTCGGGGCAGGGCCGAGGGGGCACGAGCACCCACCGGTGCCAGGAGAAGTTGGCGCCTATGCCAGGAAGTGTGAATGGAATTGTCTGTGCAATCACTACCGTACACATCCCAGAACCACACTCCCATTTGCACTTATGTGCATGCACAAAAAGCTGGTTATGCAGAGTTCCAACAGTGGCTCTGCATCTTTTCTCTACCACACCCTGTCTTTCAAGTTTTGCAGGACTTTCCCCGCTGGTGTACCAAGAGATTGTGCTTTTAGATGTTCTTGCAGCACCTTGCAGAAAAACCTTGGAAGGGGTTTATAATTGCCGTAAAATTCACTTCCCCCAATTGAAATAATTAGAGTGGTAACAGTATCAGGACCCTTTGGGCTGCATAAAAGAGTAATTAGTTTTAAGATAAAGGCTTTAATTAAGTAGAAATTAATGATAATTTAAATTGAGAAAATCCAACATGGCTGACCAAAATGACGGATATAGGGAAGGGTAGGGGAAGATTCCATCTCTGAGAGATACAATGTGAGGTAGTAGGAAATTACATTTCCTGTGACATACTAGGAAATTCCTCTTCCTGTACGGAATGACTCAGCAAAAAGCCCTAAAATCCAAGATGGTGTCGGGGCGGAGCTTAAAGATGATGTCCAAAGAGGATGACCTACAGGTACATGTGACTAGAAGGGGCTTAAAGCTAAGATCACAAAGGAGGAACTGGGGAGGAGCTAGAAAGCTGATTGGCTGAAAGGACTGAACCGTGAGAGCGCACACCGTATATAAGGGCAGCAGCCAATAGGCTGAGCTGGGTTCAGAGCTTAAAGAACAGAAGCTGCCGCCACCTGCAAGCAGCAGCAGTAAGAGAACCCTGAGGTTGCCCTGGCAACTACTACCATAAGCAACTCAGCCAGCAACAGCTACCACACAGCCTCAGCAGGCAGCATTCGCCTCTGCCTCCCTGGCAGCACCCGTCTGTAGCAGAGCAGCAGATAACCATCACTCTCAAAACCAACAGACTCCTTGACAGAACAGAAGGACCTCTTAGACCAGAGGTTCTCAAACTGTGGTCCGAGCTCCATTCAGGTGGTCCGTGGATAGTTCCCTCTAAGGTGCGTGCCTGGGCGGCTGCACACAAGAAAATGAAGGGCCACCTACCTAATTAGTGGAGCCGCGCAGGTGTGGCTTCACTAATTAGGTGCCTGGACACTGGAGAAGGCTCACATGTAAGGTAAAGTGCTGGCCGGGGGGGGGGAATAGGGGGTAGGTGCAAGGGGGCAGTGGGGTGAGAAGAGGGAGTGGGGGGAATTTGGGATGTGCAGGGCTGCGGCAGCCAGAGAAAGAGGCGACTTTCCTCAGCTCCAGGGCTGCGGTTGCCAGGGAGAGACTCTCCCCGTCCTTCCCAGCCCCAGCTTAGGGGCTGCTGAGGCAGGGGAGAGAGGGAGACACGCCCCCCCTCCTTCCTAGCCCCAGCTCAGGGGCTGCTGTGGTGGGGGAAAGAGGGCACATCCATCGCATTAGAAAGGTAAGACTACTGATATTAAAATATGAGTTTTGTGCTTTTATTTGTAGAACAAAAGTTATTTTTTTAATAGCGCTTTTATCCAAAGAGCTTTACAATAGTTAACGAACGGTACAAACAACACTTGGAAAGATCATTAAGTGGTCCGCCGAGACCCTCAGCAATTTTCAAGTGGGGGGGGGGGAAGTTTGAGAACTACTATCTTAGACGATCAGAGGGAATTGTGGTGTCTGTGTAAGCCTAATCTTTCTATTTACTATCCAAGAGTGTATGGGTTTCACCTGTAAATAAAGATGACTGCCTGTGGTTTGAGTGAGATCTTCCCCTATTACCCATCTGATAACCGCCTGGCCAGCGCTTACTGGATGTTAAATGTTAGGATGTTAAGTGTGAATAGTTAAATGTTAATCAAATGTTAAATGTCTAATGATAGGTATTAATGTGGATGTCAAGTAATTGCTTTTAACTGTGACTGTACTCATAGGTGTACAGAGGCCACGCATATTTCATTGTATTAAGTATTGTATTACTAGAATGAAAAACTCTTGTGTATGAGGAATCTCTCTCTCTCGCTCTCTCATTTATTTAATTTTATTTTTTTATTTATTCATTCATATATATGCTACGTTGAAACTGCTATATTTATTTTAGGTGTGTGTTTTCTTACATAGTTTCTTTTATTTTGCTGCGCCATTATATTACATGTAATCCTATTGTTTCCTTATGTTCTATGCCTTCTTTCTTCCTTTATTAAATTTCCTGTAACTTATCTCCTTTTTTAATAAAGATTATTTCTGTTTTCAAAGAACTACTGTTTGTGGGCCTATCCTTGAGCAGAGGGCTGTACCCACGTCCTGTCAGGGGTCAGCAAGACTAGCTTGCTCTGGGGAGCCCTCTGCAGGTCAGAGACAAGCTCCCTGGTAATACTCTGGCAATTCCTTTAGGGCAGAACACAACCGTGGTTACCCTTTTTTGGAAATTAAAAGCGCTATTGTAGGTAACGTAATTGGCTTTTGAAATCTTAGGGGAACACTAGGAGCTCTCCACTCCTCCTAGACCCTCAGTCTTTGTATTATTCAACAGGTAAATCTTAGATTATGCAGCAAAACTCCTTATTTCAGTGAGTGGGCTACAATGAGCTCTGCAGTACTAGGCTGCAATATTAACTGCAAAATCATTCAATAAGCTGTGCTGTTCCTACAAGGGAGCAGTAGGGGGCAGGCTGTCATGAGAGGCAGTGGGGGCATCTTAAGAGGCTGGCAGGGATAGCAGTGCATTAAGAGATGTACAGCTGGGGATGGTATCTGACATGGCCCTTAGCTGGCCAGAGTTCAGGCCTAAAGAGTTTCAAGTGTCAGCCACCTCCCAGAAAGCGTATCAGCCCCTCTACCCCATGCTGTTGCAGGTCCCCCTGCTCTTCAGCCAGCTACAGTTTTCCCCTCCTGCAAGCTCCTATATAGCAGCCGACAAGCTGAGGGCTGGAAAATGGATTTGGTTTTATACACCATCCTGGCAGAAAGAAATTGTGGGGCCCTTTATACAGTTGCATAATCACATTCTAGAGGGCCCTGCTCTGAGCTCTGGGAGACCCACATCCCTTGACGCCCTACCTATTCCCCCAGGTCCTATAGCAGCTAGTATTTGCAACAGGAATAACTGCAAACAAGGGTATGAAAATGACATCATACATCTTCCTCCCCCATTGTGCACTGCCACTTTTCAGTAAAGCTGGACATTCTTTGGGTCCTTCTCTCTTCCAGGGACCCACACCTGGATCTTATTCCTAAATCTATCTTGCTAATGCTGCACAAGCTCACTTGCTATCTGTTGGGGAAATCACGGGGGAGGGGTTATCACCTCCTAAAATTAGATCTTCCAGCTAAGCCACAACATTGCACAGGGAGGTCAGGCTGTGAGTTAGAGAGTAGGTCTTCTCTCTCCTCCCCCCCAGCCCCGCTGTTGTTCTGTGACCTCTAACCCTTCTTCCTCCAGCATTAAGAATAACTGCCAATGAAGATAGAGAGTACAGTGAGGAAAATCCCTATGGGGACTGGCTCACTCCAACCCCACTAGAGAAATCCTCACTCCTAATTTGGAGCTGGGCCTTGCCAAAGAGCCAAACATCCTGGACTGGCTACACCCACAAGGGGCACACAGACAGGCCTGCAGTTGTGATAGAGAGCCCCCCACCATGTGACTCAGATGAGGAAGGTCATTGAGGCAGGGGGCAGAGCTCCCCCACCTTGTGGCTTGTGTTTTCTTAAACACTCAGGCAGCCTTTGCCTGTATTTTAGTTTGAATGAGGACACAGTCACACTCCATGGCTCTCTGCACCAGCCAGCCACACCCCTAACAGCCCCCACCTCCTGTCAGCTTGGCTCCAGGGCACTGTTATCAATTAGTTGCAATAATTTTACAGTATTTACATAAAAGTCAGGCTCTGCCCCTGACCCAGCTCTGTGGCCAAGACAGGCTATGAAGACTCAGATCACATGTCCTGGTTGTACTGACACTTGGTCCAGGCTCTGCCCAGGGATCTGAGGCAGCCTTAATACAGGGAAATCAGATCCAGTGAATCCAACAGGTACTGGCACACTCTGGGCTACACTTCCAAAAGGGCTCCCCACCCAGCAGCTCTGATTCTCCTCCATGGAGCAAGGACAGAGGGTCACCATTGTTTTCCATGGGAGCTGAAAATCTGGCCTTTTGGAGAGTGGGCTGGAACTGATTCTTCTGTCCTCTACGCACACTTCATGGAAAACAAGCTGCCTGACTCAAGTAAGCAAGTAACGTGGGATGGGAGTGAGGACAGGAGGCAGAAACTGATGGAAGTGCAACAAGTGACAGGAGGTGAGAATGTGGTGGCAGTGAAGTGAGGGACATGAGTCAAAGGGGCATGTAAAAACAGATCCAGCTGCTGCAGATCAGTAGGGGATGGCAATGGGTCAGTGACCACCTTCCTCCCTGCCTTGAATCACCGGTGCTCCAATACTATAGTACCTGGGCAGGTAGATGGAATGGAGAATCACAGCAACTCCCCAGTGCCTTCCTTTGGGCCAGACAGTATTTTGACAGTAAAAGGTCTGACTGCAGGTAGGAGCCTGTATGCACATTTTTGTTCCTATAACACTTGTCAAACTCATACCTGAACGAGAAACGGAGGGAGAGGAGCCGCTTCTCCCCTTCTCTCCTGGCCAAGACCAGCTCTCTGAGATCTGCTGTAGCATGTTACCTAGCAAGCTCTTCAGGGCAGGAGACAGAGCCCTGCTCTCCTCAATGCACGCTGGAGCTACAGGCATGTTCCAGAGTAAGAATCACCAGCAGTCTCCACAGACAGCAGCCTCTGATCCGTTCCCGGATGGGGCTCAGATTAGGCCACAGAAAGGTAAGATGACAACACAAAATCCATCTCTCTTGTGGCTTTGAGGAGCTGATGACGAAAAGATGAAACAGCGTTGGCTCCTCTCCCCATTGTCACTTTGTCCTTGTGGGTACAGGTGTAGACTGGCCAGACTTCCCGCGGCTACAGGCCATCCTGCAGAACAAGATCCTCATACATAAGGTAGCGCTTCAGTGGGGTTGGGAGGTCAAATCCCCTAATGGCTTCAAGCCTCTGATGCCCAAGGGTGGTTCGGATACGCAGGTGGCTGAGGTGTTTCAGGGAGCGCGGCTGTCGGCAGCAGGATTCAATCCAGGATATCAGTGCAGTTTGTGAGACCAGACGCTTAGGGGTGGCTCCTGTCTTCTGAGATAAAAAGAAAGCAGCTGGGGTCAGGCTTTGTTCTGGATGAACATCATCTGATAAACAAACTGAGGAAGGAGAGTGGGGCTAGAGGGCGAGGGCAGGGGCTTGTGGAGCACAGCTGAGGTAGGGAAGGTGGGGTGGAGCTGAGGGATGAGGAAGGCCAGGGGGTAATTAAGGGCTGGTGCTGTGAGAGGCCACATGAGGTCGAGCGAGCAAAGTCAGCGTTTAGAGTGAATAAATACTCAAGCAGAAGGGTCTCAGCCTGCTTGCTTTGACTAGCAGGAAGGGGGTTGAAGCCTAAGCACAGCACGCTGGGAAAGGGTGGGGTGGGGTGAAGGGAGTTGCTGGGGGCAGAGGACGACTGTGCATGTGAGGGGAGTCGCTGGGACATCGCATGCTGAGAGGGAGGGGGCAGGAGACGACTGCCTGTCCGAGAGGAGTTGCTGTGACGTCCCACGCTCAGAAGAGGAGTGGGGGACGACTGCACATGTGAGGGGAGTTGCTGGGACCATTGAACTTTGTGAATTTCAGCATGAATTCACACTAAAACGCAAAAGGAACACCCTAGAATAAACTTACTGGGGGAATATTGGTAACAATAGTAGGTACAACATATTTTTCAGATAGAAATGTGATTCTTCAAATGAATTATGTCATTGTAACAAGGTAGGTAAAGCCCTTTGGGATGGAAGGTGCTGTAGTAGTGTTGGATGATGGAACAATTTAACAAGTCTTGATTTGGTCCTAAGGGGAGCACATGATCTGGTCCAAGAGGTGAATATAGCTGGACTGCTCGGTAATACACTTCTACCCTGATATAACGCTGTCCTTGTGAGCCAAAAATCTTACTGTGTTATAGGTGAAACCGCGTTATATTGAACTTGCTTTGATCCACCAGAGTGTGCAGCCCTGCCCCCCCGGAGAGCTGCTTTACCACGTTATATCTGAATTCGTGTTATATCAGGTCACGTTATATCGGGGTAGAGGTGTAGTGACCGTAATGTAATTAAATGTAACATCCCTGTGGCGGGGAAAACACCACAGCAGTCCAACACTGTAGCATTTAATTTCAGAAAAGGGAACTACACAAAATGAGGAAGTTAGTTAAACAGAAATTAAAAGGTACAGTATCAAAAGTGAAATCCCTGCAAACTGCATGGAAACTTTTTAAAGACATCATAATAGAGGCTCAACTTAAATGTATACCCTAAATTAAAAAACAGCAGGAGAACCAAAGAAGTGCCACCGTGGCTAAACAACAAAGGAAAAGAAGCAGTGAGAGGCAAAAAGGCATCCTTTAAAAAGTGGATGTTAAATCCTAGTGAGGAAAATAGAAAGGAGTATAAACTCTGGCAAGTGAAGTGTAAAAATATAATTAGGAAGGCCAAAAAAAGAATTTGAAGACCAGTTAGCCAAAGACTACAAAAAGTAATAGCAAAAATTATTTTAAGTACATCAGAAGCATTTGTCTGGGGATGTAGCTCCGTGGTAGAGCACATGCTTTGCATGTATGAGGCCCTGGGTTCATTCCCCAGCATCGCCAGGTTTTAATGATTTAGTTGGCGTTGGTCCTGCTTTGAGCGAGGGGGTTGGACTAGATGACCTCCTGAACGTCCCTTCCAACCCTGATATTCTATGATTCTATGAAGCAGGAAGTCTGCTAAGCAACCAGTGGAGCCACTGGACGATCGAGATGATAAAGGAGCACTCAAGGATGAGAAGGCCATTGAGGAGAAACTAAATGAATTTTTTGCATCCATCTTCACGGCTGAGGATGTGAGGGAGATTCCCAAACCGGAGCCATTCTTTTTAGGTGACAAATCTGAGGAACTGTCCCAGACTGAGGTGTCATTAGAGGAGGTTTTGGAACAAATTGATAAATTAAACAGTAGTAAGTCACCAGGACCAGATGGTATTCACCCAAGAGTTCTGAAGGAACTCAAATGTGAAACTGCAGAACTTCTAACTGTGGTTTGTAACCTAGCATTTAAAACAGCTTCTGTACCAAATGAGTGGGGGATAGCAAAGTGACGCCAATTTTAAAAAAGAGCTCCAGAGATGATACTGGCAATTACAGGCCGGTAAGCCTGACTTCAATACCAAGCAAAATGGTTGAAACTATAATAAAGAACAAAATTGTCAGACACATAGATGAACATAATTTATTGAGGAAGAGTCAACATGTTTTTTGTAAAGGGAAATCATGCCTCACCGGTCTACTAGAATTCTTTGAGGGGATCAACAAGCATGTGGACAAGGGGGATCCAGTGTACTTAGATTTTCAGAAAGCCTTTGACAAGATCCCTCACCAAAGGCTCATAAGCAAAGTAAGCTGTCATGGGATAAGAGGGAAGATCCTCTCATGGATGGGTAACAGGCTAAAAGATAGGAAACAAAGGGTAGGAATAAATGGTCAGTTTTCAGAACGGAGAGAGGTAAAGAGTGGTGTCCCCCAGGGGTCTCTACTGGGCCCAGTCCTATTCAACATACTCATAAATGATCTGGGAAAAGGGGTAAACGGTGAGGTGGCAAAATTTGCAGATGATACAAAACTACTCAAGGTAGTTAAGTCCAAAGCAGATTGCGAAGAGCTACAAAGGGATCTCACAAAACTGGGTGACTGGGCAGATGAAATTCAGTGTTGATAAATACAAAGTAATGCACATTGGAAGACATAACCCCAACTATACATATAAAATGATGGGGTCTAAATAAGCTGTTACCGCACAAGAGAGAGCTCTTGGAATCATTGTGGATAGTTCTCTGAAAACATCCACTCAATGTGCAGCGGCAGTCAAAAAAGCAAACAGAATATTGGGAATCATTAGGAAAGCGACAGATAATACGACAGAAAATATCATATTGCCTCTATATAAATCCATGGTACGCCCACATCTTGAATACTGCATGCAGATGTGGTTGCCCCATCTCAAAAAAGATATATTGGAATTGGAAAAGGTTCAGAAAAGGGCAACAGAAATGATTAGGAGTATGGAACAGCTTCCATATGACGAGAGATTAATCAAGATTGGGACTTTTCAGCTTGGAAAAAAAGACGATTAAGGGGGGATATGATAGAAGTCTATAAAATCATGACTGGTGTAGATAAAGTAAATAAGGAAGTATTATTTACTCCTTCTCCTAACACAAGAACTAGGGGTCACCAAATGAAATTAATAAGCATCAGGTTTAAAACAAACAAAAGGAAGTATTTCTTCACACAACGCACAGTCAACCTGTGGAACTCTTTGCCAGAGGACGTTGTGAAGGCCAAAATTCAAAGGGTTCAAAAAAGAACTAGATAAGTTCATGGAGGATAGGTCCATCAATGGCTATCAGCCAGGATGGGCAGGGATAGTGTCCCTAGCCTCTGTTTGCCAGAAGCTGGGAATGGGCGACAGGCGATGGATAACTTGAGGATTACCTGTTATATTCATTTCCTCTGGGGCACCTGGCACTGGCCACTGTCGGTAGACAGGATACTGGGCTAGATGGACCTTTGGTCTGACCCAGTATGGCCATTCCTTTGTTTCTTAATCTTTTACATTTTTAGAGCACCTTCCATCTCAAGGCACTTTACAACTATTTATACAGCTTTACAGACACCCATGAAAAGTGGGGGCTGGAAAACCCAGCAGCATAAAGCAACAGTACAAATCAGTTTATATTAGGAAGTGAAGAATCCCATATCCAATTGAAACTGCAGGGGAAATCTAGGGAGGCAGAATGTAATAATCCATGTGGGCACTGGGGCTAACACTCCAGCTCTTGTCAAAAGCTCCATGTAACTTTTACTGACAACAGACAGGCAGGACCTTGCTTTTTGTTCTCATATGGAAGCTGGCACCTCCAGCACCATGTTGGGGAATCACTTCAGAGATGACTGAGGGAAAAGTGCCACTTACTGACACGTCCCATAGCATGTAGGTGTTCCTATGGTAATCTCCCCCCTGAGTACCAACCAAACCCAATTGTGCTCAGGTTGTGAACATGGAAAAGAGCCCAGCTCATGGTGGGGCAGTTACAGATCAGGTTTAGAGCATCTCATGTGCCTTTGCGAATGTCTCACTAAAAAACTTAAATACCTTGTTCTTGTAAGTGATGTCAGCGCCAGCCTGCACCAGAAGCCGGATACACTCTATCTGCCCACTGCAAGCTGCCAGGTACATGGGAGTCACTCCCCAGTTATCCTGAAGGTTCACATCAGCACCATGCTGAGGGAAGGGGAGAAAACAACTCCATTTTAAAAGTACGTACATGTCTGAATTACCAAAAAGCTGCAATAATCAGGCCAGGTGGCCAGACATACAGGCACCCCCATCCCTGCCCTACAATGGTCATTGAGTCCTGAAATTAATGTTGGTGCTAAAGATCACACACAAAGGCATATAGCATATACTACAGGCCTGAGCAGGCAGAAAAGTGAGCAAGCCCTGAGTGACTGAGTGAGAGAGACAGCTCAGAAAAAAACTGGGGTTCTCAAACTGGGGTCGTGACCACTCAGGGGATTGCAAGGTTATTACGTGGGGGGGTCACAAGCTGTCAGCCTCCACCCCAAAACCCTGCTTCGCCTCCAGCATTTATAATAATGTTAAATATTTAAAAAGTGTTTTTAATTCTTAAGGGGGGGGTCGCACTCAGAAGCTTGCTGTGTAAAAGGGGTCACCAGTACAAAAGTTTGAGAACCACTGGCCTAGTAGCAGGGAAGGTCTTTGGGTTTCCTTGCTGGAGACAGAAATAGTCCTTGAGTTGCTCTATTTCCTTCTCCCAGACCGAGCTCCACTAGTCACTAACTGTTTTGTATCTTTCCCATCTGCTGCCTGTATAATCAGATCCCCTTCAGATGCACAGGGAGCTGCTGCTACTTGCCCACAGTGTAACATGGGCAGTAAATCTGAGACATTCATAGGGACAGATTATAAAACAACTGCTTATTCTGGCATTCTTGCACATTCCTATGAAGCATTTGATGCTGACCACTGTCAGAGACAAGAGACTGGACTAGGTGGACCCTAGGTCCAATCCAGTGTGGCAATTCCTACATTCAGACATCAGGACACAACCCAAACTAGGTCAGAGTTCTGCAACTCTCTTTAGTTATGAGCCCAGTCTGCCACATACTCTCTGTGTCTGATTGCACAGTAGAGGGTCCCCAAGCCAAATAGGGCAGCCTCAGAACTTCAGGGGACATATGAATTATTGTAGAAGGGTTATTATAGAAGGACTCATGAGCTTGACCTGCCTTGGTCTCATTAGCTTTTTGGAAGCTTCCCATCATTCTGTTTCATTATTTCAATAAAAACAATTGCTTTAATATTTGTTTCCCATCCCTGCAAACAAGAGACTCATCCCATCTATCTCAGTGGGACACTGACGAGTAAGAATTACAAGCATGTAGCACAGAAAGAGGATTCACACAGGTTACTGATGTCTCTAATGCAGTGATATTCAGACCCCAGTGGGTCACGAGCCAAATTAGTGATCAATATTACCCAAAAGAGACACAGAAGTGAGAATTCATTGAAAGCATCCTGATTGGTTAATAATTAAATCACATTGTGTTTTAATATAATGTGATGCAAAGAGCCGCAGGAGACACATTAAAGAGCCACTTGCAGCCCCCAAACGTCAGCCTCGAGTGTCACTGCTCTGCTGTGATAAATCCTCTCCTATTAGCACTCTGAGACCAGCTTTACTACATTTACTAGGTGTTATTTTTACTTCAAGGAAGGGCTCCACATTTCTTTGCTAGAGATGGGGGGAGGGGAGGAAAGCTTCACTTGACCCACTTTTCCTTGCTGAGGTGTCCTGGATCTGACCCCCCCATCCAGATGTTCAAGGCCACTGTTGAGATGTGGACTGTCACGTGCAGCTGTAGCTGCAAACACTTAATACATTATAAAAAGCTGCTCCTTGAAAAAGGGGGAAGGATTTTAAGGTGAACATTCCTCGATCACAAATAGCTTCCTAGCATGGTTGGAAACTCTGTTCTCCAAGATACAAATTAGACATGTGGCCCAGGGTGGAGGACGGGCAACAAGCTTAGGCTCAAATTTCCTAAAGTGAGTGCTGATTTTGTGTACTTGCAGTTTTGGATGTCTAATTGGAAACACCTAAGGCCTTATTTTCAGATGCAGCTCCCTTGGACTTCACTTGGAGTTGTGGGTGCTCAGCACCCTGAGAAAAATCAGGCCCCTATATTCTTAAATTGAATATCTCAAAATTGAGATACCTATTATTAGTAGCTCCTTTTGCACAACAGGGGCCTTGAATTGGGCTGTTTTAGGTGCTGCCCAGTTAGAAGATTTTCCGCATTTGAGTTCAGAGACAGTCTGAGAATCGCAACAGGTGCCACATCATATGGTGATTAGGTGGTGGTGGATTCAAAACACTGACCTGTATCAGCAGCAGAGTGCAGTCTGGGAAGAGGCCAATGGCTGCATGAAGGGGCGTTCCTCCATGTTTACAGCACGTGTTCACACTGGGCTCCATGTTGCAGCAGTAACTCCATGGAAAGCTTCTGCCCTTTATACGCAGCCCAGTAGAGCGGAGTCTTGCCATAGTAATCCTTCCTGTCAACCAGCTCCCTGTCTGACAACCAAAGGGACATCATCAGCAAGCTCACAGGGAAGCTGCCTCTAGCACAGAGAACTGGCCATGATGGTCTGGCTAGAGGCTGGCTTAAACTAGGGTATTTGAATCTTAAACCTTTAAACAGCAGAGACAAGAGACACTTTTCCTCTTAAATAACTAGTACCAGTCACTGATAGACTGGACACTATACTAGATGGACCATCGTTCTGATCCAGTCTGGCAACTCTTATGTCCCTATGGGAATGTTTGCATTCACTGTAACACCAGTAGCCAGGAAGGGCTCTCTCACGCCTGCCCTGCTTTAGGAGAATGACATACCTGAGGTCACTAGGAGTTGTTGCAGTTTCTCCATGTTGCCCCTGCTACCTTCGTAGTGAAGATCTGTCCATCTGTAATTGTAGCTTGGAGCCACCTGATAATGTCTTGGGGATGACTGGGAGTCCAGGTGTGCTTTGCTGCAGGCGGCTCTAGACAAGGAGCTGATGTAGAAGCCCATCTCCTTCACCTGAAGAAATCTCTCTCAATAAGCACCATCCACCTATACTAACAGAGAAAATAGGGCACACTCAGGAGAAAGTATGTCCAGCTCTCACATTCTCCACCTCCCTCCATCACACCGTGTGGGGTAGATTCAGGTTAATAGGATTTCATGGCTTTAGACATTAGCTAGCAAAAGAAATAAGGCATCTACAAGAATGACAAGAGACAAAGGGGGAATTTAATTAGACTTCAGTACGATGGCCTCAGCCTCCCTTAAAAGCCCTTAATAGTTTGGGAACATGTGTAATTCTGTGAGTAAGTTAATGACAGAAAAGTATGGAAGGTGTCACTTGTTTTGTAAAAATCTACAGAATCATAATTTTAGTGGTGTCACCCTTTGTGCTGTGGCAGGGGGACTCACTGTCCCCCTTCCTCCCTGGCTCCAGATCCTCCAGTTGGTAGAAATTTTGATAATACAACATTGTTGGAAATGGATCAAGTTGGGGTCTCATTCAAAAGCCCTTTCTCAGATGAACACAATGATACCAAACATGACAAACCTAGAACAATTATGTAGACAGACAGTTGAGAAAATGTTTTAAAATCATTTTTTAAACTAGGCTTTAACACAGGCATGTCAAATGTGCAGCCCTAACAAAGTTAATTTGTGGCCTTCGACTGACAGTACTGTGTTATAGTTAATGTTCACAACATGATACCTGATTAATTTTTTTAATGTTACAATTACTATAAATGGAAGGAGTGCTTCAAGTTGATTTACCATCATTGACAAAAAAGAACCAGTTCAGTGGTATTTATCAGCTTTCATTATTGTGCAAAAAGAGTTACAATGAGGCTCTGAGTTGTCAAATTGTCTGGAGTGGTTCACGGCCCATCAGGGCAGACTGTCTAAAATCAGGGCAGACGTGCCAAACTCGTTATATGCTCAAAAATTAGACTTCACTAACCTAGTCACAAATGTGAACTCCCGAAGCACTATAAAGAGTCTAACCATGGAGTCACAAACAGTCCCCTTGGGCACTCCAGTCTATCTTGCCACCCAGGCAAGCTGGACTTAGCGACAGTTGGTTGCCATATACCAGGGGTCGGCCACCTTTGAGAAGTGGTGTGCCAAGTCTTCATTTATTTACTGTAATTTAAGGTTTCGCGTGCCAGTCACACATTTTACATTTGCAGGAGCCAGTGGATGGAACCCCAGACTGGCAGTGGGCTCGGCCCGCTGCCGGTCTGGGGTTCCGTCCGACAGCCTCTGCCAGCCGGGGTCCCGTTCATCCAGGCAGGCAGCGGGCTAAGTGGGGCTTGCGGCTGGGACCCCGGCTGGCGGTAGAGTGCCACTAAAAATCAGCTTGCGTGCCGCCTTTGGCACGCATGCCGCAGGTTGCCGAACCCAGCCAAATACCAAAGGTCACAAAAGATTCAGGTTGCTTCCAGTCCCAAGAGACCAGTCACTTACCCCAGGTCAATTTGTACCTCAGCTCTCACACCAAAGCTTGTAGCCAATTCTATAGTAAACTAACTAACGATTTATTAACTAGGAACAAGAAATATGAGAGTTATTTACAGGTTAAAGCAGACAACATATCTACATGAGTTACAATCCATGGTTCCAAAAGGTGACAGAGTTGTAGTAATCTGTCAGCACTAAATGTCTTTTAGGGTTAACCCAGGTTGGCTCTCGGGATCTCTGCTTTTGTTTCCTAACTCCAGCCTTCTGAGAGCACAAACAGCAAAGAGATAAAGAATTTTCCTGTCAGGTATTTTTATTTCCTTCTTCCAGAATTCAAGCTGAGGAGACGAGCTTTCTTGCACATACCACCTTCATGGGTGTGAGATCATTTTTAGGCCTCCATGGGAAGATGAAGAGTACCGACTAGTAGCTGAATCTTTGGAGAATACCAGCACGGAGGACCTGTTTAACAACATGCTTGGTGGCACTCTACATAAAAAGTGCACCATAACTGAATTTGGCAAGATTGGAGAGGAAGTACATCAAGCATCAGGAAAAAGGTTGAATATGCCAGGAAAAATACCAGCTGTGCGTGAGACTCACCTTATACTACGGTCCCATGGCATGTGTTCACGAGGGACACCTGCTTCTTCTATGATAAGCTGGAAGCCCAGAGGCATCCATTAAGTACAGCTTCAACACATAAGACAAATGAGAAACTGTATGAAGTAGTCACTTTTAGCAAGAACATTGCATAAAAAAACCCGGTTACCTACCTTTTGTAACTGTTGTTCTTCGAGATGTGTTACTCATGTCTAAGGCTGCGAATCATTCATGGAGATCACGGCTTCTGTGACTTTCTGTGACCGCCGTGAATTTTGCAGTGCTGGTGCGGCTGACCCCAAGACCACCCCAGCAGCTGGGGAAGCTGCCCTGGAACAGCAGTCCGGGACCAGCGGCAGTGACCCTGGCTGCCTCCTGCCCGTAGTGGGAGCAGCAGAGGGCCCCGGGCTGCCCCGCCAAGCAGCAGCAGGGTCTCAGGCCGCCTCCCCCAGCAGAAGCATCGCCCCACGCTGCCCCCCACCCCAACAGCAGTCTTCAGGAGCGCCCCCCTCCCAGAGGGTAAGATTTAGTCACAGGTATTTTTAGCAAAAGTCATGGACAGGTCATGGGGCCGTGACTTTTTGTTTATTGCCCGTGACCTGTTACTAAAAATATCTGTGACTAAAACATAGCCTTACTCACATCCATTCCAAATAGGTGTGTGCATGCCAGATGCACAGTTGACGGAAGGTTTTTTTCCCTTTGTGGTACCTGTCGGGTTGGCTGTAGAGCCCCCTGGAGTCGCACTTTCATGGAGATGTATGTATATAGGTCCCTGCCAACCCGCCACCTCTTCAGTTCCTTCTTGCCGGATACGCCGACAGAGGGGAGGCGGGTGGGTCTTGGAATGGCCATGAGCAACACATCTCGAGTCCAAGTTAGTGAATCCCAATAAATTCATGGAAGTTAAGTCTATTAATGGCTATTAGCAGGCTGGGTAAGGAATGGTGTCCCTAGCCTCTGTCAGAGGGTGGAGATGGATGGCAGGAGAGAGATCACTTGATCATTACCTGTTAGGTAACTCCCTCTGGGGCACCTGGCATTGGCCACTGCCTCATCCCTGGCCCCACCCCATAGCCCACACCCCAACCCTCATCCCCAGCCCCCCCCAGAGCCCTCATTCCCCCCTCAATCCTCTGCCCCAGCCCCAAGCACCCTCCCGCACCCCGAACACCTCATCCCTGGCCCCACCCCAACCCTCTCCCCCAGCCCTGAGCCCCCTCCCCCTCTCCAAACCCCTTGGCCTCACCTCCACCACATGAATTTTGTTGTGTGACACGTCACCTCCATATTGGGGTACATAACACAATTCATTCCGCACATGGGCGTAAGGTACAGTCTATGCAGCCATTTGAGGAACAGGCCAATGACTGTCCAGCTGAGCCGGGCTGGAAAGCCGAAATAGCGGCCAGGTGCACCTTGATTGATGATACCACCCAGGCCTTCCTGTTTTAGATGAAGTAAACAGTCCAGGATGAAGGGAATTAATGACTGTAACGGAAGAGTGCCCTTCTGCAATGACCAAATCGAGACCCTCTTCCACTTAGCTAGATAAATGGCCCGACTGGATGGCTTTCTGCGTCCAAGGAGAACCTCCCTAACTGAGTCTGAGCATGCAGTTTCCATTCCATAAGGTGGAGAGACTCTAGATTGGGATGCTGGAGGCGGCCATGGTCCTGCGTGATGAAGTCCGGGACCAGGGGCAGAGTTATAGGCGAGTCCACCGACAAGTCTAGAAGCATGGTGAACCAGTGGCTGACCTGGCCATGCTGGTGCTATCAAGATTATTGATGCTCCCTCTTGTCAGACCTTCAGCAGGACCTTGTGGACGAGCAGGAAGGGCAGGAACACATACAGCAAGTGCCCCTTTCAAGGGAAGAGAAAGGCGTCCATGAGTGAGCCCAGGCCTCCATGGGAAGGAACAGAACTGCTGACACTTGCTGTTGCACCGTGTCATGAATAGGTCTATCTGGGGAAATCCCCACCTTTGGAAGACGTTGATAGCGACATCCAGCAGTTCCTGAAACTTAGACAGCATGTTCCAGGAATTATAACTAGTTGGCAATGCGAAGCTGAAGCCCCCGGTAGAACACACCTTCCTACCAAAGAGACATAGCTTCTTCGCTTCTTTGGATTTAGGAGTCTGCCCTGGTTGTCCCTGCCTTTCTTTCTGGCTGGCGGCTTCCACTACCAGAGTGCCCATATGAGGATGAGTAAACAGGCACTCATACCCCTCAGAGGACACAAAGTATTTTCTCTCTACCCCTTTTGCCATGGGGGGAGGGAGGAAAGAGAGGTGGGTGTTTGCCACAACACCTTAGTGGTGTTATGGATAGTCTTAATGAGGAGCAAAGCCACACTCAAAGGACCAGAAAGTTTTGAGCCACCCTCTTGAGCAACTTTTGGTGTGCCCTGTTGTCCATGGCAGGCAGTGTGGTGGAAGTGCCCACCACCACTTCATCTGGGGAGAATGAGGAAGATGCCCGCAGAGGCACCAGATCTTCCTGCCCCTCTGGTTCAATGTTGATAAATGCACACATTGGAAAACATAAAGGACAGTTACCTGTTCCGTAACTGGCGTTCTTTGAGATGTGTTGCTCAGGTGTATTCCACTATAGGTGTGCGTGCTCGCCACGTGCACCAGTGCCGGAAGTTTTTCCCTTAGCAGTATCCGCAGTGGGGGAGCACCGCTGCGACCCCTGGAGTGGCGCCGACATATCGCGCCATAAAGGGGGCTGCGTGCTCCCCCACCCTCAGTTCCTTTTTGCCACCAGTGCAGGTAGTTGGAACTTGCTCCAGCCCTTGGCTGCAGCATTTATAGCCTTAGTGGTATATAGTTCACTGAACTGCTTCTTTGCTGAACTTTTCTTTTGTTAGTGCCTGGCTCGGGGCATGCCCCGTGGTCCAGGCTTCAAGTCGTGCGACTCTTGTCACAACTCTATGCCCAGAAGTGATCCACACACTCAGTGTCTTCACTGTCTGGGCGAGGCTCACATTAGTGAGCATTGTAAGATTTGCCGCTCTTTCACGCCTTGGACAAAGCAGGAGTGTGAGATCCGACTCCGTGCTTTGTGAATGGAGTCAGCATTGGCCCCGGCACGTCGACCCGACTCCGCGCCCGGCACCGCGTCTTCAGTGCGCAGCGAGGCACTGTTGACTCGGCACCACTCTCTCAGTAAGAAGCAAGCGAAGACTCAGCGGCGCCGAGAGAAGGAGAGGGGTGAGGCCAGACCCGAAAACATAATCCCAACATACAAAATGATGGGACTAAATTAGCTGTTACCACTCAAGAAAGCTCTTGAACTCATTGAGGCTAGTTCTCTGAAAACATCTGCTGACTGCAGCAGCAGTCAAAAAAGCTAATAGAATGTTAGGAACCATTAGGAAAGGGCAAGATCATAAGACAATAAATATCATAATACCACTCTATAAATTCATGGTACAACCACATCGTGAATACTGCATGAAGTTCTGGTCGCCCCATCTCAAAAATGATCTATTAGAATTGGAAAAAGTACAGAGAAGTGCAACAAAAATGATGAGGGATATGGAACAGCTTCCATATGTGGAGAGATTAAAAGAACTGGAACTGTTCAGCTTGGAAAGGAGACAACTAAGGGGGATATGACTGGGGTGGAGAAAGTGAAGAAGGACGTGTTACTCACCCCCCTTCTTAGAACACAAGAACCAGGGCTCACCCAATGAAATGAACGGGCAGCAGGTTTAAACAAACAAAAGGAAGCATCTCTTCACACAGCACACAGACTACCTGCGGAACTCACTGCCAGGGGATGTTGGGATCTAGTATAACTGGGTTCAAACAGGAACTAGGGCAGTTCTTGGCGGACGGGCCCAGCAAGGGCTTTGAGCCAAGGGGGTCGGAGACGCTCCCCCGGGGGCGTTAGCTGCGAGAGCCCCGCAGCGGAGCTGCTGCCCCGAGCCCGGCTCGGCTCGGCCCGGCCCGCGGGGTCTCCGCCGCTCGGGGCGGGGTCCCTGGCAGCGCCCGACCTACCTGGCGGGGCCCGACGGCAGCGCGAGCCCCGGCGCCAGGGCGGCGTTGTCAACGGCAACACGCCACGTGACCCGAGCGCGGCCGCGCGAGCCGGGCGCTGAGCCCAGTCCGGCGGCCCGCGGCGCGAGCGCGGCTCGGGCCCCTCCGGCGCAGGCTGCGGGCGCGTGTTCGCCTCCCGGCTCCCCCTAGAGTTGCTGCGTCTGCACGTGAATTGGCCGCCCCGCTACCTTGACACCCCCAGTCCCCGCATCGCAGCAGGCCGAAGTGCCCGGCAGACACTGCAAGCGGGGCGGACCAGTGGCCTTCCCCTGAAGGGAGGGGTCGGGGACCAGCAGCTCCCCCCCACCCCTTTCACAGCCACAGCGGGGCCTGGAAACGCCTGTTCCTGGGTTGCCCACCTGGTGCATCCACCTGTGCCAAGTCCGTGCAGCGAGCGCCCCCCGCCCCTGCCTGCAGCAGAGCAGAAATCATGGATCTCCTGGGCTCGTACACGGGGGAGGCGGCACAACCCCAGCTAAGGAGCAAGGGAAGGAATAGAGATAGACACGAGGATGCAAAACGTGGGACATGAGAGGGATGAGACTCAGTGCCTGGTGAAAGCTAGGGTACTGCAGCAGTCAGATCAGCAACAGGGACCTGCTGCTTCTACAATGAACTGCAGGCCATACTTGAAAGGGACCCATTCCTCCCCAGGACCTTGAGTGTGAGGCTCTGCATAGAGACAGGGGGTCTATCCAGCCACCCGAAGAAACTTGCAGGATTGGTATGTTAAGCCAGGGGTTCTCAAACTTTAGCAACCTAAGGACCCCCATTTTGATTTACAAAATTTCAGGGACCCCCAATCCCTCCTGCTCAGCTCCTGCCCCACCACATTCCCTGAGGCCATGCCCCTGCCCTGCCCCCTTCCCTGCAGCCATGCCCCCTCCCTCCATCACCTGCTCTCCCCCACCCTCACCAGGCTGGGGCAGAGGGTTGGGGTGCAGGCGCTGGGCTGGGAGTTTGAGTGCGGGAGGGGATGCAGGAGGGAATTTGGGTGCTGGAGGGGGGTCAGGGCTAGGGTGGAGCGGGGGCTCTGGGTTGGGGTGTGGGAGGGGGGTGGCACTTGCCTCGGGCAGCTCCCAAAAGTGACCAGTACATCTCTGGCAGCAAATCCTAGGCGGGGGGTTAAGGGGTCTCCGCCCGCTGCACCTGCAGCTCCCATTGGCCGCAGTTCCTGGCCAATGGGAGCTGTGGAGTTGGTGCTCGGGCTAGGGGCAGTGCGTGAAGACCCCCTGCCCCCCTAGCCGCTGGGACGTGCTGTGTGAACTGTGACTGCTCCTCGCCCTCCCTCTCAGCTGTTCCCCGGTGTTAAAGAGGTGTTGGGAGGAAGGGGGAGGAGTTGATCGAGGGGCCCACAGACCCCAGTTTGAGAAATGCTGCCTTAGGCAGCAGTAGTGTGCTTAACACTGAATGTGGAGATTGTGTAGATGTTGCCTGGTACAGATGTCTCAATGTTTTAGTGCTGACTTCAGGTCATCATATTTTGGAGCATAAGTAGCAGCCAAATTATTTGAAGACACAAAACCATGACACCCATCCCATGTTGTATATTAATGTTTATTGAATCACTCATGTAAGAATTCTCTCTTTATTAAAATCATTTGGGTTCTAAACTGATTATTTACAGACATAACCTCTTGTATCACCAATAGATTCCTACATCTCACAATAGTATCTACAGTTATTACACTATGTAACAACATTCATATTTTCAAGTTTTTTATATTAATTATTAATTCCAATTTGTTGAGAAAGAGAGCATGCTGGGAGCTCCAAGAACTGAAAAAGAAGGGGTAGGATGTCGACGTGGGGCTGGCCAGGCCACAACTAGAAAATACAAAATTGTCAGTCAAGAGAGGATGTGTATGTACAGCCCTCCCACCGCCAAAGAGGCAGAAATAACCAAGCAAATGCACCTGGTGTCCTGAAAACCCAGAGAAATCAGCCCAGGGAGAAAGGCACCAAAAAGTGACATCTAACGGGAACCAGGGATCAGATTGCGGCAGCACATGGTGCTTCACTGAACCAGATCCCATCAGCTTCTGCAGAATTTAGGCTTTCATTCTACATTTTTAAGCGCTTATGGTTGTAAAGAAAAACTTCTGAATGTGATCCCCAAACCCGTGGCCAGCTTGAATCTGAAGCTGGAGAGACAAACTGTAGGGTCTCATCATGTAAGGTGCCAGGAACCCCTATTCATCACAAAGGGGGGGGGGGTTAACTGAAATCTATTGATGACCATTTATATCTCAACACTGATTACCATTTCAGTTTCCCCTCCCCTATTCTGACAGCTGAAAGCTAACTTCTCCTCCTCCTCCCCCAGGCAAAAATCACTTCATATCTGAGAGAGAGGCTCTAAGGTCTGTCAAAAAGTTATGTTTCATGGCAAGAAATTAATAAAACAAATGTAAAGAGCTATCTCTGTGTCCTACAGAGACTAGGTGTGTGCAGCGGGAGGGCATGACCAAGCTCCTTTAGAAGCTATGTCCTGTAGGAACATGGTACATGTCCAAAGGCGATCTAAGGAAATACAAATCCCTGGGGCTTTTGACACAGCAACCATGGAGATAGGAAGGCTAGGTGGAACCTCCCAGAGATAATTAGGAATCTACCCCCCCTCCTCCCCTAAACAGGAATTCTTATTAAAGACTTTTGTATAAGCATTAATGAAACCTCACCCTGTTGAGGTAATGGACTCTACCATGTGGGAGAGGCACGAATGGAGAGATCAGAAGGGGCATATCTGAACCTGCAAACTGACCAAGTCACAGGGACGTTAAAAAGTGGGTCCAGGATACAGCAAGAGGGAGTTGGTATCTGACAGTGTGATGGTGACAGATTGGAGGAGAAATGTATGCTATCAACTTTTCTGTTTTCACTGTGACTAAGCTGAGATGGGTCAATCTGGAGATGTTAAGCAGTTTATTCTCTTTTGACACCATTTTTGCAGTGTTTTTAAATGACTCTTCTTTTTGTTAATATTATTGTTATATGGGTAAATCACATGCACGTCCCTGGAGAAACAAGAAATCTGTTATCTCCACGGAGAGGTACTAAATGGTACCGACACCCACCTCAGTCCTGGCCAAGGTACACAGACAAAGGCGTATGCTCCTTGACCTGTGTTGCCATCATGCTCTGGCAGGCAAATTCAAGGGGAGAAGCTGATGGATCAACTAGGAGCCAAGAGTTGGCGGGCAGAGGTTGGTCACAGAGACCAGCACATGACTTCAGGTTAATGTAAATCCTGGATAAACAAGAGAATTCCTCTCCTCTCAAATTGACTGGCAGGACTTTGTGAGAGCGCAGAGAAAAGATTTTCCAAAATGTGGGAGAGGCAAAGGCACTGCTGGGCCACAAACAGCGGAGGAAAGTATGCCAGCTCTTGGTGTCTGGTTGGAAAAGTTATAGACAGATGCCAAAAGAGTTTTGAATCTCATGCTCCCCAACTCTGGGAGGTTTGCTTGGCACTGCACAGATGGGATCATCACTCTTACCCATCCATCCTTCCTCCCACGTTTGTTTCACCTGCCTATTAAGTTTTGCCTGAACCTAGGCTTGTAAATTCTCTGGGGCCGG